CGCACAGCTGGGGGACAGGCATGGCTCACTCTGCAGCTGGGGACATCTCCAGCTGCCACCCTCCTGCCCAGGCCACCCCCAGGATTCACCGCCCCAATGGGGGATTTACCTTAAGGATGGTGCAGATGGCGTCCAGCTCCGTCTGTCCCCGCAGAGGGTGGTCACCCATGAATTTCATCACGGCTGGGGACAACAAAGACCCACAGCTTACCCTGTCCCTTCCCTTCCCCGAGGACATGCTCCCCTGGGTGTGGGGAACATCCTGGGCACTTGGGGCAGTGGGACCAGAGGAGCTAAACCCTCCCTGGGCCACCCCATCTGTCCACCCCGGGCCTGTCCCCACCCACCTTCAAGGATGGGGCTGGGGATGGCCGTGGGGCAGAGGGACAGGGCGCTTGTGCCCCCTCACCTACCTTGGAAAGCTTCGGTGGCCAGTTTGCTGATGCCACCATCCACAAATTCAATGAGCGACTCCTGGATGGGGGTCTGGAAGGGGAGAGGGTCAGCTGCCGGGAGCAGCCAGGAGGGATGGGATGGGGTCTGGGGTGGCATTCAGGGAGCTCCCGAGCACACCAGGACTTCAAGGGGACCCGCAGGTGACAGCATGGCTGGGGCACCATGAGGCACCCCGCTTCTCTGTACCTTGGTGAACATCAGCATCTCCAGCACATCAGGTTTGGCCCTCGTCCCACCGGAGTCCCTGGGAGAGGGACGAGGGAATGGGTGAGCACGGTTGTCCGTGCCACGGGTTGTCCCCATCCCACCCCCAGCCACTCACGTGGTCCCATGCCGTGCCGTGCGGAAATACCGCCGGGCGAAGGCCAGCATGGGGCAGGTCCCCGCACCGGCCCCGAGCCGTTCGCCGCCATCTCCCTCTGGATGCTCCACAAAGGCGGTGCTGGCAGGGGACACCTGCGGAGCAGGATGGTGGGCGCCAGGCTCAGCCAGCACCATGCCGATGATGGCCCCAGGCCAGTACCCACCTCGGTTTTCCGGTCCAGCTCCTGAGCCACAGCGGTGGAGGCCACGGCCACGGCCACAGCTGCCACAGATGCCACCTTGCCCTGCTTGTCCTTGGGTTCCTCTTTCCTCTCCGCTGGTAAATGGACGAAGTCGGGGGCTGCAACGGGCTGGACATACTCGGTGGGGAAGAGCCCCGACCTGCCATGGATGGCCCCGAACTTCCACCCTGCACCGGGCAGACAGTGGGGATGGCCCCAGGCTGGCAGCCCTGGGGTTCACCCTCCAGAAAAGCCTCTGCCCGTTCTTCCCTTATACCCTGCAGCACCCCGAGCCCTTTCCAGGGGGGCTGGCTGTGGTTTTTGGGTGGAAACAACTGTGGTTTGGCATTGTTCAAGGTAATGGCACAGACCAGAGGCCACAAAGCCCATCCCCTGCAGGGACATGGGGCAACGCTGGGTGCCACCCCGGTGGGAACCACAGGGGAGCATCCCCCCGCATCAGGTCTGTGCTGAAAAGAGCCCAGACCATCCTGCTGGAGGGTGACAGAGGCAAGATCCCACCCCGTGCCCCAGCCCCAGGAGGTGACACAGCTCCGGGCAGTGTACGCACACCGGGGACATGCACAGGGGCAGTGTGGCACCCACCAAAATCCTGCGTCCCCATCTTCAGCTCCTCCAGGTACATCACCTTCTTGCGAACCACGCAGCCATAGTAGTGGTCTGCAGAGACATCATGGGGACACGAGGTGTCACAGGATGCAAAGGTAAGGCATGGCCACCTCTGTGGCCGGTGAAGCCGTCAGTCCTGGTGCCCCTGTGCCCCCCATCGAAGCTCCCCATTTCAGCATGGGGAGCTGTGGGGGGCTGCTCACCTCTCTCGGGGCGCTCCAACGGCTGCAGGTGGATGATGTCCCCTTTGTGGAAGCTGAGCTGGCCCCCGTCCTCTGGGCTGTAGTTCCTCACAGCCACCACGTACTGGGAATCCTGGGCACGGGGAGGGCTGGCACAGCCCGTGCACACAGGCACACACGTGCACACCCATGCACACCCACATCCCGCCCAGCACAGGGGCTTCAAGCACCCACGGCCGCAGGACCACCCCACGGTGTCTCCCAAATGCCCCCTCGCCCCAGGCATGGTCCCATTTGCAGGTTGCCCTCTGCTGCCCACCTCGGTGTCTCAAACACAGGCACACAGGCGGGGTCCGTCCCCCATGCTGTGCCCCCAGCTGTCCCCCCTGGCCCCAGAGCACCCCCCACCTTCCTGAGCTCCGTGATGAAGTGGTCAACCATGGCCTTGACCTGAGGGGCTTTGGGGGAGAAGAGGATGAGCTTCTCACTGCGCAGGTTGAACTCCAGCATGTTCCTGGACGGGGTGGTCACGAACAGCACGTCGGTGTAGCTGGGGCAGGGCGAGGGGAGGCTGAAACACCCAACACCCACAGCACCCATCCCACCTCGACCGCCCGGGGCTCCTCGCCCCTACCTGTATGCCCGCAGCACCCGCAGCTGCTCCCTGGTGCCCTTCACCAGCCGCAGCAGCTTGATGCCGGTGTGGGACACGGCCAGGATCTGCACGCCTGTCCCCACGCTGCCCTGCGGGCCGGGACGCTGCCTCAGCCGGGGGCAGGGGGGCTGTGGTGCCCCCCGACACCGACCCACCCCACAGCCGGACCCTCACCGTGGCGGGGAAGAGGCGGGAGAAATACACCTCGCAGTCGTCACGGGCTGCGGCGATGATCTCCCTCTTGACACTCTCGGTGGCCACGGGGCTGAAGGAGTCCAGCTTGTTTTCCGCTGCAGGGAGAAATACCCGCTGGTGAGTGTCCCCCCTCCATGGGGAGGGTGCAGACACAGGGTTCAAGGGAAGAACGGAGACGCTCATCCCCTTCCCCAACCTGGCAGGACTGTGACAGAGACAGATGTCCCCCACCCCAGGCACCCCATAATGCAGCAAGCCTGGCTGAGACCTGACACAACTCGTCACTTTGTGAAGCACTAAATCACAGGGGGCTCATTGCATTTGGAGGTAAAACTACCCCGGCTTTAAGCAGAGCCACTTGTGGCTTGGAGATGCCCCGGAGATGAGGATAAGCACCAGAATGGCTGGGTGTGAGACCCCCCCAGATTTGGGACCCCCAGGTGTGAGCCTCCCCCAGCCCGGGAGCAGCGGGATGTGGGGGTGTGGGCGAGGATTACCGAAGAGGGATTTCAAGCGGAGCCGCTCCTCCTGGCTGATCCGGATGCAGGTGTCGGAGAGCGTATCATTGAAGATCTGGGGAAGGGTTGAGGAGCAGCGGGGCCATGCCAGGGAAGCGGTATGCAGCCCCTCTGCCCTGCACGGCCCCCCCTGGCTTGGGGCAGCCGACGTGAGGGGATACCCCAGTTCCCTGGGGACCCCCGTGGGGGCTTCAGGGCCAGTTTGATGCTTCACCTGCCGGAAGATGAGGTCGAGCAGCAGCGGGTTGTTGATGCTGTCCTTGGGGTAGAAAACCTACCAGGAGGGAGACCGGCACAGCATCACCAGCATCGCCCACCCTGCAGGGCCTCAGGGGTTCGACGAAAAGCCCCCTCTACCCCTGCAGCACTTTGACACCAGCCTGTCCCCATTCCCCCGCACCTCCTTGCGGATGTAAATTTTCCAGGGCACGTTGTGGTAGGTGTAGAAATCCTCGCTGCTGCTCCGGTGCAGCTGGGTCTGGACCTGCTGCCCCTCGGATGGGAGCTCCCGCGAGATGGAGACTGCAAAGGGACGGAAAGCCCTGCCACATCCCTGGGGGGGGGGACAGCCGACAGCCCCTCTCCACCCAGGGAAACTGAGGCACAGGGGCCAGCTGTGGGGCAGGGAGGGTTTAGCCGAGCACAGCAGTCATCCCATGAGGATGCTGCAGAGCCGGACCAGCGCCCGGCTGCATCAAGCATCACCCAGTGCTGCTGGGGAGGACAAGGTACCCCACTCCAGTCTGGACACCCCAGTGCCACGGCTCTGCCCTGCCATACCTGGGGGCCGGGTGGCCACCGGACGCCCCATCGGCGCTCGCAGCTAGCCCTGCCACCTGGTGACTGGCTTCACCGTGGCCACCGCCTCCTTGGGCCCCTGCGAGGCAGAGAGCAGGCTGCAGTTGTGGCCAGCAGCTCCCACGGCCCGGTTTGGGGAACATGGGGGCAGCCACATCCCTACCACAGCCGCTGGGACCCGAGCTGCCGAGAGCTGCTCCTTCAGGATCTGCATGGCTTCCTCATGGGGGTCCAGCTTCTTTCCAAAGAGCTTGCTACGGAGACAGCACCTCACATCGCCTGCATCCCAGCATCACCTGCAACCTCCAGCATCGCCTGCACCCCAACATCACCTGCAACCTCCAGCATCGCCTGCACCCCAGCATCACCTGTGCCTGGTATCACCTGCACCCCGGTGTCACCTGTACCCCAGCATTGCCTGTACCCCAGCATCACCTACACCCCAATATTGCCTGTATCCCAGCATCACCTTTTCCTGGCATCAGCTATATCCTGGCATCACCTGCATCCCAGGATCACCCACATCCCAGGATCACCTGCACCTCCAGCATTACCTGCACCCTGGCATCACCTGTACCCCCAGCATCACCCGCACCCCGACATCAGGGCCAGTGTACACATCTGCAGAGAGGAGAAGCCTGAGTGGGTACCTGGGGGGCTGGGACCCGCGCGGGGCTGGCTGGCACTGCCGGATGATGTTGCGGATGTCATGCGTGGGCCGTGGGAAGTGCTCCGAGTTGAGCCGGGAATGCTGCACCAGCTCACCTGGCCACCGCCGGCCCACGGGTGCTGGGGGGACAAGCAGGTGACTCAGGGGGGGCTGGGCATTGCCCTCACGCCTGGGGCCACGAATGCCCATCGCCCCCCTCATTGCACCAGGACCCCTTACCAGCTTTCTGCGAGTAGGGCCGGGGCTGGGGGACACGGGCTGGCGTCCCCTCCGCTGCTCTGCCCTGCAAGGGACACCA